ATAAAACGCCAGGGGTACTCGTATCAAACAGATACTAAATTTTCTATTGTAATACGCACGTAACACATTTTCTTGAATAATTTCCGTAATGAAGGATTAATTTAAAATACAATCAGCAAACGATATTAGTTCCGTGGCTAATGATGGTAGGACGTAATATTGGCTGACAATAAAGCACGATCATCGTGCCTATTAAGGCCGTGAAATAGTCATAAGTTCCAGTTTAAAGGGTAGGGCAGCCGTTGTACTATTACTGTGATGCTACAAAACGTTATACAATTGAGATGTCGATATCATCTGTCAAGGTGAGTGACATTCGAGTTGTGATATCAATGGGTTTCTGTAACCACTTAATATCGTGTGGGCCGTGTGCTCTTTCACCCATATCTAAGCATTAAAAAAGTCGCAGCGAAGCGTGGTCGCATATCATTAATAGCTACTTATGAGTATTTTGTGTTGTTTTAATTTGTTGTTCATTGGACGAGCTCACTGTCCACCTTACGTTAAGTGATTACCGGAGGTCACACACACGACGACGACAATACCGCCACTCAGCTTTATGCATGAGAACAAAATCTCAGTAGCAATAGCTCGCCTCTTGTTTAATCAGACTTTTTTTTTCTTCTTTTTTTCCTACCTATGCTATATAGCCCTTGAGAGTCTATATCAGCTTCTCCTTGAGGTGTAGGTGAGCTCACGGGGCTCAAATCGGGTGTGTTGCTAATACTGGCCCTAGCAAGAGCAGTGCTTCGCAGAATCTACCGCCGGATCCGAAACGCCACCCACTGAGAAGATCCGGCGAGAAACTCAGTGGGCTTAATCAGACTGAAGACGTTATAGACGTTGTATACGAAACGTATCAGTAATTTACGCGAAGCCACCCACGCCAGTACACTACACGACTACACGTGTAAATTCAAAGCGCTTTCAAATACACTAAAGAAAAAAACCCATCAAGCGGCTTAAAACGTGTCGACGACCCACTAACGAAAGCACGTTAGAACAAAATACAATAATTATTATTAACTGAAATGTAAAACTGTGTTATTTTTTGCGTCTGTTGTTGAATGAGGGCGCCGATCGCAAAGTACGTACAAAAAATAGAAGCAAAAAAAAAACGGACGATTCATGATGAATGATTCAAGCTTTGGAGGATCTTCGCGTCTCAAATACGTAATTGTAAAATTAGAAGCCTTATTGTCATAGGTTTATAGTACATTTTTGTGAAATAACATGAAGGCACCAACCACACAGGATGAAGTAGACAGTGTGAGCATGCGATAGTAAATGCTATTCTTAAACGGAAACATTATTAGTTATTGTATTCTGTGTCCATTGTAATATCGTAACGTCAAACACACTCACAAATGTATTTAAAGTTAACGTTGCGTTAACGAAAACACAGCGAAATAGATAGAAATTTTGTAAATTTACGACCATTGTCTCTAACCATACGAAATAGAAATGGGTCAAGTCAATGTTAGACAAATATCTGGGTGTATTGATGAATACATTTTAGTTCGTAGCTGTATTCTTACTTTTTAGAAAAGAAAATAAAAAGGCCTTAAAGAAGTGCTATAGTATTTTCTCGGAGTATATTTAAAAAAATATTTCTTTAACGATTCCGACTATAAAACAAAAGGACATGTAATGATTTTGTGTCTAGACTGTCTTACTTTTTAAACCATTCAATGTAATCTTCTCATCCTCAAATTATAACGACATTGAGCGTCTGCAAATTCTTACAATTAATGTCTGCTGAACATCATTAGACCTGGCGGCCTTGTCGCGAGGCCGCTACAGGAATAATTTCGTAAAATAACTGTGTAAATACGAATTCCGTAAGTCCTTAGGGTTATGGGTATGCTAGGTGAGCTCGTATCCAAGTATGCTAGGGTTCATATTCTGTTCCCAGTGCAATTTCTATGTAAATAAATACATATATGTACTCCTAATGTGCGGTAAGAATAAGTTGGCTCAAATCAAGATTTGCCACTAGTTTTGCAAATTTATTTATTAAGCCTAATACCAAATGAATTTACTTTTACACTGCTCTCGTTTGATGCGATCGTAAAGTAGACGAAAATTCGTGAAATATTCATAGGCTTAGAGACAAAAGAAAATACCAAGGTTGGACCGAGGTATTTGCAAATTAAGATTCCTAGCGATCCAATACGATCCGAATAAAGAAAGATCGGCCATTTCTAACACGCATTTATCACGATGCCACCTATTCCATCTTCATCTGTTATTTTAATGCTCGGGCTAACACAACACTTTCTATTTCGCCAGGGTTGGCAGAATTGTAAGTTTTAGGAGTTGTAGACATATTTTTTTAATACCTTACAAGGAAGACGTCAATGCAGCCCAGCTGCTGAATGGTTGTCAACCAGTCGCATCAGCAAAAGCGTCTCTTTATTAATTAAAAATAACAATGTATTTTTCTTAAAAGATTTCGGTGGCTATTCGTGTCGAAAGAAATAATCAAATACTGACGACCTATTCGAGGATACGTACAAGTTTCACTTTCGTTCGATGTCTGTTCAATCAGAATAGTGTACAATGTACTACACACAGTCAAAAACTATGGGACCCCGGGCGTAGAAAGTGACAGTGATCGAGTTACGAAAGAGCCGAATGCTCGACGGTCGTTGACCGGCGCCCGCGCGGGGAAAGTGCTGTGCCTAAGTAATGCTTTTAATTAGACAGCCCGCCCGGGCTTCATGCTGCGGAAGTGACGTCACTTGACTTTTCGTCACATAAAGATTTTAGTGGTCATACAAAGATTTCGTTCCTGAACTACGCGTGATCTATTTATGTTTATTTTATTTACGCTGACAGAGGAAGTTTCTTAAATTGACATTTACTGCCCCTTTCGTGCAGTAAATCTTTGTAAGGTTATATATAATCTTGCACAAATACTCTATGCGTAATCAGTGAGTTATGTAGATGCAGACACTGCGNGTCACATAAAGATTTTAGTGGTCATACAAAGATTTCGTTCCTGAACTACGCGTGATCTATTTATGTTTATTTTATTTACGCTGACAGAGGAAGTTTCTTAAATTGACATTTACTGCCCCTTTCGTGCAGTAAATCTTTGTAAGGTTATATATAATCTTGCACAAATACTCTATGCGTAATCAGTGAGTTATGTAGATGCAGACACTGCGTTTTTGCAAATGTTCTAAACACAATTATTCAGTTTATCTGATTTTTTAGTTTTCGGAGCGTTGCCCCCACCCGCAAATTTAGCTGTACATTGTGAATGATTTATTTAAATTTTTGAAATATAAACGATCGTGAACACGTAAACGAAAATACGAGTAAACGCAACATCGGAAATAATAAGCGCGATATTAAACTGTGAAAATAGTTTTAATTATGTCACGAAAACAGAAGAATACACTAGATATGAACTTACATTATTAACAACATGTCAGTTGCTTTAATTGTCACAAAATTTATTTGCCTCCCAAATATATAGATGAACTGAAAAATGTACAATGAGTAGCTTGACAATGATGCAGACAAGTTAATTATTATTTTTTATTGTGAGTCAAACTGAAAACTATAAAAGACAGCATTGATTCTATTCATTTAAAATCAACATCAACACCATCATATCTCTGGCATAGGACTTGAAAATAGCAGATAAGTTGGACTATTGAGCTGTAGTAATCATTTAAACTACATGTTATGCTATTCCAGGTACAATGTGACACATATGACACAGGCTCCAATATACACTTTACAATGGAGGGGCAGAGATTTTGTTCACCTATCTATTAAAATGTACATGTGATAGATAAAAGAGCATACTAATGTTGCGAAAACATGTACAAAAATTCATCATTCCGGAAACAGCAGGCTCAGCATTACTGCACAAACCGACATGGACATCTACTAAACTTCATAAACAGTGAATAAATAAGACCTATCTTTCAGGATATTTAAAAAATTTTTTTTAGTATTATTGTGTTCATGGTAAATATTATCAACTTTATTTTCATCAGATTTACTGCTAGTCTAATCTAATGAAAAATGTCAGAGATCATTATTTTTTTTTTCAATAAAAACTCTCGATATGACTACCGATGGCTAGAGTTTACCCTGAGTATTGATTTTTAAAAAGAAAAGGTAGTTTAGTATTATTAAAGGCTACAAATACTCAAGTTGGTGACTTCACTTAACAATTGTATGGAAATAACATGTATCATAACTCTTCAATCCCAAGTACATGAATACTTCCGTACTTTCGAACCACACTATGCTATGTAACAGAAAGTAGGAGGATTAGCTTGAGTTGTACAGGGTTCTATTTAGGAATGAGCACAATAGTATGCAAATTTATTTGCATTATTTATACCAATTTATATCATAAGTAACTTATAAGAAAATCTGTTTCAAAAATGTTGAATTAATGAATAGATCAAGATTTTAATAATTTAAATTCTATTAATTTAACTTGTTAAAACTTTTAATTATTTACTAATTAAATTAAATCTTTTCTTTCAGCAGTGAAAAATAAGTATAAGTTATAATTTTTAGTATTGTTCATTCAGTTTTACAATATTAAAATTTAAAAGTAAATTTCAAAGTACATTGCTAAGATGAAGTTTGTAGAATTTAAGTTTTGCTCTGAACTAGCTACAATTGATTTTTTACTACTACATGATCTAAGTTAAATATTAAATAGCCTGTGACATGCAATAAGCCTAGGCATCTTAATATCCATTATTACCATTAAGTCACTATAGTTTGCTTATTTATTTTTAACACCAATAAAAGCATCTTCCCATTTATTGCTATTAATAAAATTAAATATTCAATACTTACAGACATTAAGCACATTTCAAAATATCGTAAACAATTGTGTATTCATAAAAACATACAAACAATTGCGTCTTATTTGTGTTTTACCAGACAACCTTGTAAATCAGCTGACAGAATGTAATGGTGAAACAGTATTAAAATTACTATCGGTTAGAACTCCTTACCTCTTCCCGGCGTTTTAGCCACCGACCGCAGGGACTCTCTTCTAAAATTTCACTCTCATCCTCGGAGTCTTCACCACTCTCGCGTGGAGACTTGCGCTCCTTCTCGATGCTCCTACCGCCCGACATAACACCTGCCTAGTGTCGAAACAGCCGTGAACAATACCACTACACCGTCAATTAATATCTCACAGACGTTTTCAACACGAAAACACTTGATATATTTTCAAAATACACTTTTTCTCGTAATCATAACGTCCAAGGCTGAGTAGCTAGACGTCACTGTCGTTTCTTCACAATCCATTATTCGCATGCACAACACTTGTTACGGACTTGTTCTATTTCGATTATTAAAGTTCGATTATTGGTTTACAACGTGCGATAACACACAGCCTCTGATACGTTTATTCATATTAATTGAAATAAAATGACTACCCGGCGCACTATTCGTATTACTATTCGACACAAATATTGAATCATAGATAATTTTTTAACTGAAGACGTCTACTTTGACATGCAAAAGTTGAAAGCCCATACAGCCAAAGTAAAGAACTTCTCCTTTGACATTTTTAGCTTTGTACCACAGACAATAAACAGCTAATTTTGTGAAAGCAAAAGTGTTTTTTTTCTTTTTTAAATACTAGGTACTGCTTTTCTAATATATTTAGTAAGATGGCATAAACATTACAATTAAAGGTTGTAAAATTTAACAAGGTAGTCAGTCGGTTCTCGGAAGTTAGTTCGTGATCTTGAATCACACTGTTCCTAAAATAGACGGATCACAGGTTTATTTTAGATTAGCGCCATCTATTGAAAAAAGTCAAACAACCTGTTCGGTAGATTTTCAATAATTTATTTCGTATTCTATATTTAAAATGCTATTTAAAATAATGTACCTTGCCTAGGTACGTTTCAATGAATACTATGATGAAATTGTAGAAAGCATTTTCATTCATCGACTCCTTTATCACTGCAAACTGTAATTTAAAAACATTAGCTCCATCTATGAGTAAATGCCAAAGTTCATAAATCATATTTTCATGAGAATTTCACGATTAGAAACAATTAATATGCTTTTTAGTTTTATTCTGGAATACTTTATAGAAATTTAAATACAAAGAATACAAAAAAATACTGGTTGCCAAATGAAAATTAATTGAAAGTCAAAGGTGTGGAAATAGACGACGTTGAATTTTGAAACTCGCTAGCAGTAGTTCATATAGTTTATCATAGGTGGTGCTATCGTTATATTTATTGTTCTGTGAACAAAATGTAAATTGTGTAAAAACTTAAGGTACATGAACCCTCATAAACTATTTAAATAGCACAAGAAAGTAATAGTATTATTTTATATTAGGCAATAAAAAAATAGATTTATTATTTACCATGATAAAGGCAAACCCAAATTAAGAGTGAAAATTTTAGCTTGTGTTCAAGTTTTATTGTGAGATGAATCATTTTAATTAACTTAATTTAACGTTACAATTTAGTGTGTCTACACAGTACCTAGTAGTGATTACTATTCAAATTTTATTGTTGTTGTTTACTGAGGAAGACGTTTTGTTACCAAGGTAGCGCGGCGCGGCGTAATGAAAATTTTATGTTTACTTAACTAAATTAAATAAGTAGGTACCTAGCTATAAAACTGAACGTATAATTTGTCTGGCTTCGTTAAACAAACAATGTTTACTACTGATTGAACGCTGACGCTTTTTTACATGACCGCAAACGTGTATTGAATCCGGAGAATGTGGTATGTGGAACTTCCCCTGCCGAATTCGCCAGGAATCGCCAATTGAAGGCCTTGGTTTCAAGGACCCACAAAGGAACCCTTGTACTCTTCACCTGGGAGAGGTTGGAGGGGCGACCATCACGCGAGACACTCCTTTATCCCAAAGGCGTCTGATCGATGCAGTCATGACCGAAAATTATTTTATGTTGGGCAACGAAGTTGGTGTTCCAGAATACCCCGCTGCACCATAATAATATCAAGTCGGAACGCGATACAGCGTCAGCCAGTAGCCTCTTTTTAATATCTACTCTATGACGCACTAGATTGTACCTACTTATCCGATCGTCCAGAACCGGATCACCAAATAAAGTTCTTCTTACCTCTCGAGGAGGGTTTTACTTCTCTCTGCCTCCTACTCGACAGTGGGCGGTGCGGGGAGATAAGACCTCTCTTACGCGATTGTTTTTTTTTCCTACCTAAGCTGATTGTCTTGAGAGACCATATCAGCGTCACCGGGCGATTCGCGCTTGATCGTTTTCATGAGCGTGGCGAATACAGCGCTACACTGACGGCGCGGCGCTGATGGCCAGTCGGCACTAACAATATTGGCTTTATTTGAGCGACCATGGTAGCACTTTATCTATCTTCTCTCTCGGGGACTCAGTGTAGGTAACGGCTAAGCAGCCGTGACCTTTCAGCACTTGCATTTGCCGCTAAATGCAACGCCCTCGGTCACTGTTCATCCAGAGTTTTATTTTAATTACATTTAATTATATAAGAAAATGGCATGAATTTTACTTTTTCAATCGATCACGATTTTCAGCTACGGTTCACGTTTTCATCGTTCTTGCGACCCGGATAAAATTAGCTAAATGAAGCCAAACTGAATTATTATTATATAATTGGCTTTTTTTTGTTGACTGTCAGTACTTTTAAAATTTTATGATGCGATTTCTTATAGAGTCAAATTGTGCTGTTGTCTCAATCGGATTTATTCCGTAATATCTACAAAAGCACAATCCTTGGGTCGAAAGGAAACATGAAAAGGGCCATGCGAAGGGTTTTAGGTCCGTACTTGTATCTGGGTTCTTGGTTACGACTTTCCGCACTCTAAACACCCTTTTCCACAGTTCGTTGATCTTAACGATTTTGTGTTTGAAAAAACTTCGATTTAGGCAACGATCTGCTAACACTTAGGTATTGTCTCCGCTGGCGTGTTTAAGGGCAATTGCGTTGCATCGACTGAAATGAGAGTGTAATGACTTTACAAGAAATCGTATACTTAGTTTATAAGATTATAACGTAATTGTGTCTGTTAAATTAAATATTTACAAAATTTACTTATATTTTGTTATTTGGAGATAATTTCAAATCATTCATTTTATTATTTTAACATATCCGTTTATTTCTTTATCTGCTCCTTCGAGGACAATCTACGAAATTCAAAAAGTTGATACTTTATCTCAGTTCCAAGATGAAATCCGGATATAGTGATTTTTTTTGCCAACAAAAGAAACTTCATAAGCTTAGCTTCTATAGAAGACATTGCGGGTAATAAGTACGGTATACGATACTGAGATGCGATCTCGAAGCTCATCAAGCTACTGCAACCGTTTCTCGTCTACTATTTCATGCAATCACGGAAGATACACAAGCCGATCCAGAACCAAAGTAATAACTAGTCTCTTGGTGGAAGAGTAACTCCATAGAACGGCTTGTGATACAAGGTAAGATAAAGAAAGGAACAGTGCGGAGGCGTCAACCCTTACGACTGATCAGGTTTGCTTCGAGAGGCCTAGGTCGTGATATTTGTCCTTCAAATTATACCATGCTAACGACGAGTGTTCTCAATGTTCTCAATGACCAAAATGATGGAGAAAAAAGTCGATGCCGACTAAGTCTTCAATCAGCTTGCGGTAGGCAGCGGCTTGGCTTTGCCCCTGGCATTGCTGAAGTCCATGGGCGACAGTAACCACTCACCATCAGGTGGGCCGTATGCTCGTCTGCCTACAAAGGCAGTAAAAAATAAAATAAAATAAAAAATCTCATGTCTCAAGTGGTCTCCCTGAGTGCAGTACCACGCGATCCAGGTTCGGTTCTCGGTCGGAGTCTACACANAGCTTGCGGTAGGCAGCGGCTTGGCTTTGCCCCTGGCATTGCTGAAGTCCATGGGCGACAGTAACCACTCACCATCAGGTGGGCCGTATGCTCGTCTGCCTACAAAGGCAGTAAAAAATAAAATAAAATAAAAAATCTCATGTCTCAAGTGGTCTCCCTGAGTGCAGTACCACGCGATCCAGGTTCGGTTCTCGGTCGGAGTCTACACACTAGGTCTTGAAGCAGACAGCGTGATTTACTTCGTGATGTCTGTGGACCACACTTAACCCAGATTGATTTGGGCCGTAACTCCGAGCTGATCTATACATTAACTACATTTGTAAAGTTAAAACAAATAGAACAAGCTAGCATTTAGTTAATAGCAGTGTTTAGGCTATAAAGATATCTAGACCGCTCGCGTGTCCGGTCCCCCGCCCTGTCGGATGTCGTGCTAATGTTTTCGACAATCAACAGCAGACGTGGACTATTTTTACGAGAGAACATGTTGTGTTCTTAACACACATGCCCGCTTATGGGCAGTACAACAAACAAAGAGAGCCTCCTTGTCACGTGTTCGAAGGGTTCGGGATAAATAAAAATTGTACGGAAGTACAAATTAATTAAGACTGTATAATATAAGACTTAGAACACTTAAAACACTTAACGAACACTTTAAAAATCTTAATTCACTTCTTCCGCTTCGCCTCAGGTGATTCGTTCGCTGTTTCGCTTCGAGTAGATCGGAGTACTGACTTACTTCGTGCCATCTCTGCAACGTTTTTATAGTCGATACAACATCCCTAGATTTATCGGGAACATTTTGGGCAAGCTGAATAGCTCCGAAGTGTGTTTTCGCTATCTGAAAATAGATGGCGTTGTACTTCTCGAGTGTTCTCGATGTTACTAGTTCCTTTGATATACGTTTCTGCCATTCGGCGATAGAAGGAGTTACTCTTACCGGCGTAACAGTACCTACTTTAACAAGATAACATTAATCAATGTTCTCCAAAAACAGGTATGTGATTTTATATATTTATTTAAGCGACGTAATCGATTTTGAAGACGCCGCCTAATTATTCTAGCTATACTTCATTTTAACAATATTTCTTTAAGCAGTGGAACGCAAGCACATAACTAGTAGATAGTATCTATAGTAATGGGATCTATTGATTCGTACTGTGTCTATCAGATTTTTGTAAATTGCTTAGTAGCAGATAGTCAGATAGGATAGGCTTGAGTAGGTCGATCGATCTAAGGTAATAAAAATATACTGTGTAACTTATGAGCGCGATCGGACGGGATCTCAGAAAGTACCCAATGCGACCGAAGAATATAGTTAAAACTGCAGTTAAACACAGAACTAGTTAACAACATCTCTCATTAGGAAGGACATTAATACGAGATGTCATCTTAAAAGTTTAGTTTTATTGTCCGTTGTTATCTGGCCCCTGTTATAACAATTTAATGGCTCAATAATTTTAGAAAAACAAGTTGTGTATTTAATGGTTGCTCGTTGTTGGTGAAATTCGAAACTCGAATGGTTAATACTGGTATATTTCAAGTAAAATGAAATTGAATCCATTAATTTATTGTTTTATTTTATTTTATTTTATTAATTGACGTGGAGCT